TGTGTGTTCACTGCTGTGTGTGTGCACTTTGGATGGGATAAATGCAGAGCACTAATTCCGAGTATGGGTCACCATAGTTGGCCACGTCACTTTCACTTTTTTTCACTTTTTCACATCACAGTGATGTTGGAGAAACTCGAGTGAAAATCACAGAAATGAAGAAACTGAAAACAGATCTCACTATTGAAAGATGCCACAATACCTGAGACCAGGGGCGGAGCTGAGTGAATGAGTGTATGAGAGAAGGCGTGGCTCTGAGTGAGTGAGAGGAGGTGTGGCTCTGACTGAATGAGTGAGTGAGTGAGTGAGTGAGTGAGTGAGTGAGTGAGAGGAGGCGTGGCTCTGAGTGAGTGAGAGAAGGAGTGCCTCTGAGTGAGTGAGAGGATCAGTGACTCTGAGTGAGTGAGTGAGTGAGAGGAGGTGTAGCTCTGAGTGAGTGAGTGAGAGGAGGCGTGGCTCTGAGTGAGTGAGAGGAGGCGTGGCTCTGAGTGAGTGAGAGGAGGCGTGGCTCTGAGTGAGTGAGAGGATGAGTGACACAGGCTGTGTTCCACTCCGCTTTTAGACACGCACTCGCGAACTTCCCTAAGCACTTACCCTCGGGGGAATCCCCACCGTCATTTTGAAGTGCGTTCCACTTCGTCAAGTGGACGAGGGAAGTTTACATGGACATACCCTCGACCCTTCGATTTTGACCGAGGGAGCGAATCTGCTTCATATGCACACTTCAGGCCGCTCCATAGACCACAATGCAACACGACTATGACGTCATCGCAGATTGCGTTTAATTTATCCCCACCCCAAACAACTCTATAATATGTTCCAGTTCAGCCCATTCCAAGGGTTCCGCCAGAAGTGGGCACTCATGCAACGTAATCAATGACGTACATCCGAGTAAATGAGACGGAGGGAAGCTTGCGAGTGAAGGGCATAAAAAAACGGACTGGAACGCAGGCTCTGAGTGAGTGAGTGAGTGAGTGAGTGAGTGAGTGAGTGAGAGGAGGTGTGGCTCTGAGTGAGTGAGTGAGTGAGTGAGTGAGTGAGAGGAGGCGTGGCTCTGATTGAGTGAGAGATGTGCCTCTGAGTGAGTCATAGGAGGCGTGGCTCTGGGTGATTGAGAGGAGGAGTGGCTCTGAGTGAGTGAGAGGATGAGTGGCTCTGAGTGAGTGAGTGAGAGGAGGTGTGGCTCTGAGTGAGTGAGTGAGTGAGTGAGGTGAGGCTTGGCGTGGCTCTGAGTGAGTGAGAGCAGGCGTGGCTCTGAGTGAGTGAGAGGAGGAGTGGCTCTGAGTGAGTGAGTGAGGTGAGGTGTGGCTCTGAGTGAGTGATAGGAGGCGTGGCTTTGAGTGAGTGAGGTGTGGCGTGGCTCTGAGTGAGTGAGTGAGAGGAGGCGTGGCTCTAAGTGAGTGAGGTGAGGCGTGGCTCTGAGTGAGTGAGAGGAGGAGTGGTTCTGTAAGACTGCTGTGTGCATGAACTTGTTGTCGGAGAGAAGAAAGAGATAAAGCGCAGCTGGTATTGCTGTATCAATACTGCGGGAAATGATTCTGATACACTGATACTGAACTGTTACAAAGATTTCACTATAGATATCTTGAAAAATATTTTTGACAACATTATTAAGAAACCTAAAAGATTTGGGGCTTTTGAAGAAACAATCGAAGCTGGAGCCCCAGAAGCCACACCCCCCTTCCTGAGACCACAAACCCCAGTGAGCGTTTATCCAGGTGATGGAAGAACATATTAACTGCAGTTTATCGAGTCTTCCATTTTTTTTTTAAATCTGACCTTGAGATCCAAATGTCATTTTGGAAGGATTGAAAAGGCTTAAGTTATGCGGTGAGACAGATTACAGCATTTATCTGCTGCTCCTGAAACTCCCTGAAGCTGAGGTGCATTTGAGTCATGCAGTTTTATTTTACTTATTTTAATAAATACATATACAATATGAGTGAGTGAGTGAGTGAGTGAGTGAGTGAGTGAGTGAGTGAGTGAGTGAGTGAGTGAGTGAGTGAGTGAGTGAGTGAGTGAGTGAGTGAGTGAGTGAGTGAGTGAGTGAGTGAGTGAGTGAGTGAGTGAGTGAGTGAGTGAGTGAGTGAGTGAGTGAGTGAGTGAGTGAGTGAGTGAGTGAGTGAGTGAGAGGAGGCGTGGCTCTGATTGAGTGAGAGATGTGCCTCTGAGTGAGTCATAGGAGGCGTGGCTCTGGGTGATTGAGAGGAGGAGTGGCTCTGAGTGAGTGAGAGGATGAGTGGCTCTGAGTGAGTGAGTGAGAGGAGGTGTGGCTCTGAGTGAGTGAGTGAGTGAGTGAGGTGAGGCTTGGCGTGGCTCTGAGTGAGTGAGAGCAGGCGTGGCTCTGAGTGAGTGAGAGGAGGAGTGGCTCTGAGTGAGTGAGTGAGGTGAGGTGTGGCTCTGAGTGAGTGATAGGAGGCGTGGCTTTGAGTGAGTGAGGTGTGGCGTGGCTCTGAGTGAGTGAGTGAGAGGAGGCGTGGCTCTAAGTGAGTGAGGTGAGGCGTGGCTCTGAGTGAGTGAGAGGAGGAGTGGTTCTGTAAGACTGCTGTGTGCATGAACTTGTTGTCGGAGAGAAGAAAGAGATAAAGCGCAGCTGGTATTGCTGTATCAATACTGCGGGAAATGATTCTGATACACTGATACTGAACTGTTACAAAGATTTCACTATAGATATCTTGAAAAATATTTTTGACAACATTATTAAGAAACCTAAAAGATTTGGGGCTTTTGAAGAAACAATCGAAGCTGGAGCCCCAGAAGCCACACCCCCCTTCCTGAGACCACAAACCCCAGTGAGCGTTTATCCAGGTGATGGAAGAACATATTAACTGCAGTTTATCGAGTCTTCCATTTTTTTTTTAAATCTGACCTTGAGATCCAAATGTCATTTTGGAAGGATTGAAAAGGCTTAAGTTATGCGGTGAGACAGATTACAGCATTTATCTGCTGCTCCTGAAACTCCCTGAAGCTGAGGTGCATTTGAGTCATGCAGTTTTATTTTACTTATTTTAATAAATACATATACAATAAAGAAATATACATCTTGTTTTGTGTTTTTGTTCATGAAGGGTCACTTTTATGCATTCATAGGTTTAGGATGAAGAGCTGATGACATTCAGTGTTAAAATGCAATACACAAAATCACATATTCAGACTAGTTAAGGTCTGTTTAAGAGAAAGTATGTTAGTGTAATTACTATTCACTGGTTCATTTTAAATACACAACCATTTTAATGCAGTTAGAGGTAACACTTTATTTTGATGGTCCCTTTTGAACATTCTGTTGACAATAAGTAATATTGCACCTACATGTCTACTAACTCTCATCAGAGTATTAGTAGACTGTTTGCTTAATATCTAATAACTCTTTATTGTCATGGTCTCCCAACAGACATTCTACCGACTATAAGCAACTTGGCAAGTACATGTCAATTTATTCTAACCCTAACCCTACCAGTCTACTAATACTCTACTAATACTCTAATGAGAGTTAGAGTAATGACATGTAGGTGCAACGTTACTTATAGTCAACAGAATGTGTTAAAGTGACCATCAAAATAAAGTGAAACCCAGTTAGATTTTCTTGTTCTTTATTAACATTTAATGCAATGTATGAATGTCATTTTAAATGTTTATGAACTTGTCAAGTCAAGTCGTCACCTTTATTTATATAGCGCTTTTAACGGGGCAACATGTATATCGAAAATAGCAGAGGGCCTAGGACAGATCCTTGTGGCACTCCATATTTTACTTGTGTGTCTAAATGTTTTTGGGTCTTATATCCACTTGTTCATTTAGATACAGTCACATTTGTAAAGCAATAAACACAAAGTGTGAATTATGTGAATCAGTGTATAGGCCTAGAAAGGCAGAAATCAAAAATATAATTTCAAGGTTTACCTAATATTGATTTTTGTAGGTAGCATGTCAGACCTAATTATAGAAAAACATAGACATCACTGTTACTGCCGGGAAAAGACGATGAATCATTACTGATGTGTCAGTTTATTTGAATATTTATTAATGTTTTAGCACAATAGTGAAATAGCTGATATTAATTTTAATGCCATACTATAATGGCAATTTTATAATTGATAAGATCGGTAAGCGATTATTACCAATGTGCGTGGCCATGTTTGTTAATTGAAATGTATCGTCAGAGAACAGAAAAAGTAAAGATAATGTAGCCTGTCCACTGTGACCTGAGATGAGAGAATGAGTGACTGTCAGACCAGGTGGAATATGGAGTTACATACTACAATCCTTTATGAAGTTTCAAATTACTTTCAAAAGGTGATTTACTTGTTGAGATCCAAACTATACGTCAAAAACATGTCCAGCCGAGTTATTGTCATTTAGGATTTAATGTGTAATTCTGCAGCTCTATTAGAGACAGATGGACAGCATTGACCTGCAACTAATCATTTGCTTTGATGTTTGTTTTCTCGTACAGCACCGCTGACTGACAAGCCTCCCAAGATCCTCTATCCATCTGAAAATAAGATGAGCGTCATGGAGATGCAGCTGGGTAAGAACTGTTTATTATGAGCTGATATTGCGTAACTGTCTGTAGGGTCTTACAGTAATGCAATGTGCTGTGACCTTGTGCTCTGTGTGTTTGTGTGTGTGTGTGTGTGTGTGTGTGTGTTGCAGTCCTGGATGGCCCTCTGTGCTGCGCTGAAATCATTGTGCTGTGTTTGATCACCTGTGTAATGTGTCAGAATCGCACCTTTGTAAAACAATAGAGCTTTTATGTGCCACATTTCATGGTCATTTATGACTAAATGAGTGTGAGAGTCGCTGACTCGATTGACTAAACATGAACGGCACTCTTCACAAAGACTAACCGGTCTCAAATGACTGCAGACTCGTGGAAATAATCCCACTAAACTATGATTGTTGAAAGACTAGACTAAAAATGCAATGCACTTTGAGAAGCTCAGGCTGATGCAAGTGTTGATGGGATTCTTGGATTCTCTGGATTCTGTTCTCTGGCATCTGTGGAGTTACAGTCGAGTCCGTTTTTGTTTAGTGCTTTCATAATACACATAGTTTCAAACCAGCTTTATAGAAAATAACAATGTTTGCTTATAATATCTTAATATCTTCATGTCTTATAGTATACATTTATCAGAATAGAGCTATGCAATAATATAGTTTACATTTTGCCACTTTATAAACAATGAAATAGTTGAGATCTGCTATATTTTACGTGAGTGTACTGGATGTATGCAGGTAAGGTTGGACATACAGTACTGTAGTTGTATAATTTGTTATTAAATTGTAAAAATTTGAGTTATTAATTTGTTATGTGGTGATTTGGGAAATTATGAAACCTGTGAGTTTTTGTTCAATTTATAATAATTTGGTATAGTGACAAGCCTAATTACTATTTAGTGATGCTTATCACTGCTGTGGTTGAATAATGCGTATAAATGACAGGGTTAAACGGACGATCTTATCACTCAACCCTAAGCAGTTTAACAGAGGAGTTCACTGAAAATCGTGGCATAATACTTAACACATTGTACATAGTACATAATATGTGTCCATGTGATGTTTGGATTATGGAGAAAAAAAACTCTGTGGGGCAAATATAATGTCAGTAATTAAGCAGATGTGTTACTACTAAGATTAAGTTGTGTGAGTCTTTGAGCTCCATCCAGGATTGAACAGTAGAGCGCAGGTGGATGTCGGGGAGGTGGATTATGTGGAAGATCTTTGAGATGCTGACGCTCGTCACATGACACAGAATCTTGACATATTCTCACAGCGCAGAATTGTCTGTAAGATGCAGAAATGAGCCTTTCTGAAAATTAAGGTGTTGGTTTAAGGATGTTTTTGGACATGAATTATTCAGGTTCGAAGCTGTTGAAGTTTCAGAGAGATATGTTTTAAAGAAACAGAGAAGCCTAATTCGATCTTTGTCTTTTTCCTATCTGGAGCCTGATTATCTTTAGTTTGTAACTCAGGGGTCACCAAACTCGGTCCTGGAGGGCCGGTGTCCTGCAGAGTTCAGCTCCAACTTGCCTCAATACACCTGTTTGGAAGTTTGTAGTATACCTAGTAAGACTTTTATTAGCTGGTTCAGGCGTGTTTGATTAGGGTTGGAACTGATCTCTGCAGGACACTGGCCCTCCAGGACCGAATTTGGAGACCCATGTCGTAACTGGTGTATTCTGGCTAAGATCAACCATTGGTTTTACCTGCTTGTGGAAGCTGATATGTTTTGTAGCTGGATGTATTATGGACCAGAATCGCGTGTGTGTGTGTGTGTGTGTGTGTGTGTGTGTGTGTGTGTGTGTGTGTGTGTGTGTGTGTGTGTGTGAAAGAGCCTTGTTTCACTGTGGTTTTCGGCTGTAGATCAGGCATTGTTGTTTTGAGCTGTTCTTCAGCCGGGTCTCTCAGTGGCGTGAAGCAGCAGATGTCTGATGTGCTGGATGGGTTTATGAATCAGAATCAGAATCAGAATGAGCTTTATTGCCAGGTAATGAAGGGACTTCGCACAGCTCCAGTGATCTGTTGAAGATCTGTGTGAAGATGGGGGCCAGCTGGTCAGCACAGGATTTCAGATAGACTGGTGTAACACAATCTGGGCCTGGTGCTTTTTTCCTTGTCTGCTTCCGGAAGACCTGGCACACCTCTTCTTCGCTGATCTGAATTGCAGGTGTGGGGGAGAGGGGGGTTGCTGGAGGTCTAGGCAACGGCATTCTGAATCCGCGCTGCCTGAGCTTCACGAACGCGCCGGCTCTCTTCCCCCGTCTGCGCGTCCTGAAGCATTTGATCAGCGCCGCAGCTCCCCCGACTACAATGTCCAGCAAAACATCAGAATAATCAAAAACCGGTGAAATATCGGGTGGTGTGTACTTCCGAATGTCCAGCAATTCGTCTCTGGTGAAACTGATTGCAGGGATATAACTAAAGACAGGACAAACTAACAAAAACGCGAGAGATGGTGTTTTAAGATGGACGTGTTTGGCTTGATGTGATTTGTGGCTTCTGCATTAGGAAAGGCTTTTGATCAGAGTAACACACCTGTGAAAATATAAAAGAAAAGATCTGTGAGCTGATGTTTCTGACCTGATAGTCATGAATAATCTTCATATACACATTGCTTTATTAATAATGTGAAATGAACCTGTAGTGGATGTGTCATCTACCCATCATTTGAACTATAGTATTTCCCACAGAAATGAGCAAAACCAGATTTGGCTCAGGTAGGACAGGAGCATTAGATTCAGATGTGACTCTTTCCTTTTCTCTCGGACTACATTTGTTCCAACATTCCCAAACCTTCATTAGATGCCAAGCACCATCTGTTAGTTTGCCTGTTGTTCGTCTGCTGTTGGAGTCTATGGCTGCCCACAGAAACAATTGGACGACAGCTGTGAAATTTGTTAGATTGATTGGGAAGAGCAACAAAAACATTCCTAGTGATCGTTTGGAGTCTCCGTATCAATCTTTGTAGCTCCACTAACAGTTTACATTTTACAGCTGTTTCTTCTCAAGGCTTTTGAAACATCAGCGGCATAACCTGAGAGCGCCTCAGCACCACCTGCTGGTCATTTAATACTAGATTTTGTGCTTATGTATCTGGATTTTAAAGTGAACTCAAACCTCTTTTTACTTGTGATAGTGGCTCAGATCGCATGACATTCACATTGCTGTTTATAGGAAGCCAAATTCTTTGAATAGGTTTACAAACATGTCTCATTACAAATCTAGTAATCATCGCTTCACAAAAATGTGAAAATAAAGCCTAACTGTAAACGAGCCACTCTGAGGCGCTGAAATGGATCACGAGCTGCTCACACGAACACGGCGTGAACAAGGTGATGCTTTTACAGCCCTTTGCACACTAATGTTTTCTTGTGTGAGAATATAGATGCGAGATCTGTTCACGAGCGTCTCTTTCTTTCTCTGTTCTAATAACCCTCAAACAGCTCCAGCGGTTCCTCTCTAAGTCATGACTCCTGACATGCATTTTCAGCTATGAGGCCTGACATCAGGGCAGGAGAGATGGCCATCGAACGCAGCGTGACTCACTTGCTAAATGGCAGTGCCACCAGCCTTTCATTTCCATCTGAATGCACCACTTGAGAATCCAAAACAATGGGTGAGCACGACTGTCAGAGACTCAACGAGAACGCTTTTGGCAAGTGGGTCACCGGTAGATTGGATGGACTAGTTTTGCATTTTACAGATCTAGTTCTGCTTCAGAGCGCTCAGGCTGTATGAACAGAAGTGCTTTTAAAGCATGATGTGATTAGAGGTTACAGCGTTTAAACCCAGAAGAACATTAATAGAACATTTGCCTTTCAAAACTGACACTGATGATGCCATTGTGGTTGGTCTATTCTTCTGGGCATTTACAATTCAGTATGTAAATATTGCAATTCCATATGCAAATAAACTCAAGAAAGAAGCTTGGTCTTCTCTTCCTTCATTTATTTATGTCTATTGTTGACACCTGATTGTTGATTCTCATTGCAGTCAGGAAACTATGCATTGAGCTTCATGACGAAAGTTTCTGAGAACTAAGACTAAAACCTGGACTCAGTTATCATACTGTCTAATGTTTCTGAAAATTCAGATTTAGTTGTAATTTTTAATTTTTTTGTTCAGTGATCTTTGAACACACGGATGTGCATAAATTATCAGTGTTTTTAATAGATAAAGAACGTCTCAGGTTACGTATGTAACCCTGGTTCCTTGAAGGAATGAGACGCTGCGTCGGAAAACGCTAGGGGAACGCCTTCTGTGACCACGCTCTGAATCACATGTGAAATCAGTCCAATAGCTGAGCGGGACGTCACGGGTGGGAGATGTCATGACAAGGAAGCTATAAAAGCACGTGTGGCGGAGCCAGCATCAGCTTCTAGGAATGAAGCAAGCGCTGGCAGGGATGCCGGAAGTATGGCACCGAGACGCAGCGTCTCGTTCCCTCGAGGAACCAGGGTTACATACGTAACCTGAGATGTTCCTCTTCAGAAACTCGAGCTGCGTCAGAAAACGCTAGGGGAATCCCAACTCTCTTAAGAGAAGATATCGCCAGAAGAAAGGTAGTCTTTATTGTGAGGTGGCGATCAGAAATCTCTTCTATAGGTTCGAATAGAGGCTTACAGAGAGCTTCTAGCACCACTGCCAGGTCCCATGTGGGGACGCGTGATCGTACAAGAGGCCTCAGCCTCAGCGCACCGCGGAGGAAACGTGTAACCAGGGGGTGTTTTCCCACTGAGAGGCCACCGAGAGGGGCGTGGTAGGCCGCAATGGCCGCCACGTAGACCTTTAGG